CACACGTCATGGCAGTTTTAAAGAAGGTCTAATGTTCCTAAAGTCAAGACTGACACAGGAAAAGACTTGAATCCTTAACAATTAAAATTTTTTATTTTATTATAAACTGTGAATTAAAATCATATATAATTATCCCCTGGGTCATTATGTAAATGATAATGAGAGAAAAATACTGAAATAACCCACTTCTATCTAAGACTCTCAGTCGGTACTATACTTTCAAATATGCTCTGAATAGGTACTGCACTTTCACATATCCATATACACAGTATATTCACACCATATTCTATGTACAGACTCATACTCATAGATACAAACACCCCCCACCCCCCCACCCCCTTCACACACACGCACGTATCCCAGCAGAGGGCCCAGCTCCTAATGCGCTAACAAGCTCCCTTTCTCCTCCTCTCACCTCGTCTCCTCCGGCCTCCCTCAGTCTCAAGTGATCGCAGTAGTCGAACACCGCCACAATGAACTGCACTGCGGGAGAGAGACGGAGAGTAAAGGGCTGAAATGGAGAGAGAGAGAGAGAGGGAGAGAGAGAGCTGGAGAAAGCACAAACACTTCACTCTCTCCTCTCTTTTCAGCCACGCACAAGAAAATGAGTTTCTGACTCGACACAAAAGAGCCTTTTTATCCACCCCCTCTCTCCTCTATCTTTCTACTGTGTGCCTTTCTTTGCTCCGCTTTCTGCTTTTTCTCCCTCACCAGCCTTTTTCCCTCTTTCTCCCCTTATAATTTTCCCTCTTTCTTTCCCTTTCTCTCCAAAAGAGAGATATTTTGCTGCTAATGACTTAATAAGAGGAGCCATCTGAAATTCAATTATAGTAGACTTTATAGTGACGACTGCCATTTGGATGGAGGCAGAGATGTGTGAACGCAAAGTCTATTTTCTTTGACCTCTCACTATTTTAAACTTTTTTAATACAAATAATAATAACTTTATTTGTATAGCATGTTTCATGTAGAGATGCCACACAAAATGCGTCACAAAGGATTAAAATTGGGAAACAACGTTGAGCTGACTACAGGGAACACAGATAAATAGTAACAATGATGAAAATGTGATCTGATCGAAATCTCTAGGTAGAACAGCTGCTGAATGTCAGCTTGTGTTTCCAAGGTCAAGAATGCATTTTCAGTGTCAATAAAACGTAGGGTACCCATAAATAGTAAACACAATAAAATCATAAAATATGTAGAAGATAAAGAGAAAGAAAGGTCTTCAATTTCTTTTTTGGGATGGGATCGTGAACTGAGAACAGGTTTAAAATTGTCCGAGCCCTTGGAATCGTTTGCCCCCGAGCTTATCAATTCCTTTTATCGATGCCTGCATATTTTCAGAGTTGGGCGGGCCTATACGCTCACTACACAAGTGGCGAAGGGCTCCACAAATTACACAAGGACCCCGCCTCACCCTCGTGTCAAAGTGGGTGTCAGTGTTTACAAGTTTGATGAGAGAATGGAACCATCAGTCTGGTCATGAAAAGAGAAAAAACACCATGAGAGTAAACTTGTTCTCTCCAAGTTTGATGTAAGCAAATAAAAGTAGGCTAACATTGTACTAGCTTGCAGTGGATCTCTCTACAGTCCCTAACTGAGCTGGGCAGTGCATCTCTTGGTCTGTCTGTGTCTTGCTTAGCAGACAATCCCAGGGCTGTTCTGTGATTGTGAAATATAACTATTTATTATGTTTGATAAACACCAATGGGCAGTGTTTAAAGATAACTGCGTCGCTCGTGAACATGCGTCCATATGCCCATTGAGAATGCCAAGTGAGCTAGCCAGTGTTTTGCTGTAAAAATACCCTCGTGCTAAAAAAGTGTTGTGGTTTGTTTTTGTCTTCTCAGAGTAAAGAGAAGAAAAAGTGGGTAGATAGAATGGACAGTGATATCTAAATCCATAGGGAAATGATAGGCCCACCGTTGAATATGTGCTGTTTGGGAAGAAAAATGCAAAAAGTTCTTATATTGACCGGTGTAGCATGAAGAGAAAAAGAGAAAAAAAACACAGATATTGAAGATATACTGACATACACCTGTGTGCATGTGTAGGAGCTGTTAGTATCAAATCTAAAGGTGATGGTATTGCTCAGGTGAAAGTTTTACATTAGAGTCCATCTGTCTCTCTGCTGATGTTGCCTCTTGTCAGTGGGGAACTGGTGTTTGTGACACAGTGACATGAGGCCACAGGCGGAAACCCACGCTGAGAGGAAGAAAGAGGGAGAGAGAGATAAAGGCAGCAGACAGAGAAAGAGTGGAGAACAGTAAAGTGATGCTCCTGTCATTTATCTCAGCAGTGGTGCCATGTCTGTGTATTTATTTCTCCTCATTCTCTCTCTCTTTCAGTTTCCCTGTCTTTGTAGACTTCCTTCTCTCCTGCAGGTGTCCTCTAAACCTTTTCACCCTCTCAGAAATGACAAACCAGTGGCCTTTTATGGGTCAGTGCATTTTGAAAAAATCGTTATATATATTTTTTTCTAGCTGCTGTCTCCTACAGCCACACATTATTAAAACACGATATAAAGATACGTATGTGTTGTTTGGAGGAATATGTAGTGCCTCTTGTCCATAATTGCATTACCTCCACACATCCCTCCCCCTCGTACACACACACACACAAACACACACAAACACACACACACACACACACACACACACACACACACACACACACACACACACACACACACACACACTCGCTCTCCAAAGGGGGAAGTGCGATGCAGGGGAGCGGGAAGCAGGAAAAAGGCAAACGGTGAGATCACATAGAGACCCAATGTGAGAGACACCGACTTGACGCTCTGTGTGTGGCCGCTGCTCTTCTCTCAGCTCTCACTGGGAGAAACACACACAAACTCCTCCTCCCCGTCTCACCCGCTGTCCTCCCCTCTCACCTCCTCTGTGACTCACCCTTCTTCCTCTTCACCCCCGTCTTTTTTACAAGTTCTCCTTCTCCCTGAGCATCTTGCTTTTTTCTTTTCTTTGCACCTCTAGCCTCCACTCCTGTTTCTCTCCCACCTTTGTTCCCTCTCTGACTCATTTCCTTGCATCTGTCATATGATTAAAGCATGGGTTTCAAAAGTGTTTCTGATACAATAACTTTTTTTTTCTCTATTTTTTTTTTCTTTTAGGCATGAAATCAAATTTGGTTAATTTCAATAAAACGTTAAACGACAAACTGCGTCATCTGTCCTAGGTTTATTAAAGTTTTTTCCTGTTTGCTTTGCCAGCTTTTTCCGCTCATTCCCACCGTCTCCACCCTCCTCCTTTCTCTTTTTTCTGCCAGTTCAGTCTGTCCCTCCACTTTAAAGGAGCCATATTGTTATTATTATCATTGTCTCTAACTGGATCAGTTACCATTAGACCTGAATCTTTCTCCTTCTGAGGCCCATACACCAGCTCTCTAACCCAATAGAAAACCCATGGGCACTATTACAGATGGCTGATCCATTCACAGCGCGCACACACACACACAGAGGTACAAACACACAGATTTCATTCTGAAGATTCATTGGCCTAATCCCATCACACACTCAAACAGGGACACATGCACTTACATACACACATTGTGCCTGTTCACAACCAACCTTATCAAATATACACACACACACATAAACACTCTGCTCTCATTGAGAACCCTCTATTATTGGCGTTCACTGAGCAAATGGTAATACTATTGGGAGATGATGCGTGTGTGTGTGTGTGTGTGTGTGTGTGTGTGTGTGTGTGTGTGTGTGTGTGTGTGTGTGTGTGTGTGTGTGTGTGTGTGTGTGTGTGTGTGTGTGTGTGTGTATATAACAGCTGTATATGGCTGTCATTATAGTTGGATGTATGAGTAGGACTAAGGAAGAGAGGGTAAATGTCATTCCATCAATGAGGTTATCTCTAATAGATGGACAGTTGAAGTCCTGGTTTCCATTTAGTCTGCTCTCAGCTGAATCTCTGTACCTCTCTTTGAGTTCATGGCTAAAGGCTGTAATAACAAGTGATGAACGGCCTTTGTTTGCCTGAGAATACCACTGTATACCCAGATTATTCACATGGAAAACTGTGTATAGGGAGTTAACTGGCCTGTGTTAAAGCAGTGTTGTTATCTGAATAATTCAGTTTATTCAACAACCACATTATATTTTGTTTTATCATAAATTATTCTATTATTGTTTTTACTTTTGTTCTATAATTCATCTCTTGTTGTGCTGTTCATGTTGCTGTGTCCAATTCAGTTTTGTCATTGTTACTTTTTATTCTCTTTTCTATTCAGTGTAACTGTTAAACTCTATAAATAATATCTAATGATGTAATTAATTAACTTTAATTGTCATTAGTACTTAATCTATAAAAACATGTTTTCTTGAAACATTTCATTAATTATGAAATGTGCAAAGAATTGAATTGAAATTAATTAATTCAATTTAATGAAAGATGCATTAAACCAGTGAAACTTCAGGCCTGTCTAGTGGCATTAGCAACAGTACAGAATACTTAATCTTACTTAAAGGTGCACTACACTGATTTAGTTTCCATAAAGTTGGGGAATTTGTGAGATACATATTTTTTTTTTAAATGGTCAAAATCTGTGCAGCAGAGGTCAAGCTATCCTGACCCTCATTTCCCATAATGCAGCTGGATAGTCTTTTCATTAGATCGCTCTGACTGGTAAACTTCTACGTCTTTCAGATGCCACACTGCCAGTCTCTAACGCAGACTTTAAAGAAGTACATAAATGAAAAGATGAATTTGTAATTTCCAAGCCTAAGCCAAGATGACCCTGATGACATCACCATGACATCATCAGGGTTATTTTCTCCAAAGCTCATTCAGATTTTTCTAGTGCAGCTACAGCGGAAGTGAAGTGTTTTTTGGCCACATTTTATTAACTGTATTTTGGCAGGATTATCATCATCTTGAACCCATTTCTGTCTTATTCTTTTTCCTTTGTATCTTCTATTGGTATTTGTGACTTTATTTCTGTTGGACCTTGACCTTTGATGTCAGCTATGAGGAGCGAGCTCGATACCTTGAAACCATTGTCCAGCACCACCAGGAGCCGACCACGTTTGAGGATTACGCAGCTCGAGTTTACAGTCCTGCTCCCTGCACTCACCTGCCGTCTGACACAGGTAAGACCTGATCTTACACTATGTGAAGTAACCAGACACATTTTATACCACACCAACTGATACTCCTGTCAGTCAAAACCTCAGTGGCAGGCTTTCAGAGAATGGGTGACTAAGGCTACATCCACACTAATACGTTTTATTTTTACGCTACTCTGGAGTTTTCAAACCCTTGCAACAGAGACTTTTGGAAATGCTGCCAGCCACAATTTAATTCAAAACTCTGCGGCTGCGTTTTAGTCTGGAAGGGCAGAAACGATGACACAACCACCTTCATTCGCTGCCTCATTGAGTCTTTCGGTCACGACTTCCAGTGGTGATTGCAACATGGATAACGGTTCACAAGCGTTGCTGATCTTGTTGTCTTTGCTGTTCCTCATTTGTAGTATTTTCTGTCACTAACCACTAACCAACTGCAGAGCAGACAATCTTCTTCCTGTTTACACTGGCACGCGCCTGTCCAGTGTACCTGAATGGTCTTGTGATATACGTTTTCAGGTGTGTTAGTATGGACGGAGTTTATTGTCGATACAGAGCTAATATGCTTGTTTTAAGATGGAGCTTTATTAGTGTGGACGTAGCCTAGTGTAACTTTGTGAAACTGCTTATTGGCCAGTTAAGAGAGAAGTTAAGTGACACGTTAATATGCAGATTTTTCCTTCTTTTGAAAGCATTTAAGGGGGAATCTGCCTACCACATTTCTAAACTGCCCACCCTCTATTATCACTTTAGCTAGCGAGAGACCACACACACACACACACGCACACACATGCACACACACTGGAAACTCAGTCTGATGCAGAGCGTCGTATCTGATGAGTTCTGTTTTCTATCCAAAGCTGTGCTCAGCCTTCTTCTGTCTCCAGAGCATCTCTGAGGAATTAGCTGACATCTGATCAGCCGTAGAGATGCCAGGCGTGCACATGGGAGTCATATTCTAATGTATGACTCTTACATGTATCCTGCCAAGTTTATTAGACAGATATTGATCAGTCTTGTCTGTAATGTGTCCGGTTAAGTATAATTTAAGACTCTCATTTGACTTACTTCTTATCCAATTAATTAACTTGGCAGTTATTTACGATAATTTCATTTCTCAACTAAGCCACACGTTCTCTCATAAAGAAGTTCTACATAAATAACACATAGGAAATAGACCTGTGTGACGTGGGCCTGTGTTAGTCACATATTAGTGTTTTAGTGCAGCAGTTGAAAGGGATGAAGGTACTTTATGTTTGTTTGTCTATATGTATAATTGATCACTGTTTTTCTTTGCCAGCCGCTCCTCATCTCACCAGTTATTGTGTTCAAAATATTAATTTTTCAAGAATAATCACCCTGCTTTGAGGCTGAATGACATCCAGTACAACCTGATACACTCTTGTTTCTCCAAATGTTAATTCAGAATAATGTATGGCATTTAAATCCTCTGTCACCTCTGTATGGGGTTGGTGGTGTGTTGTTCAGCCCCAAATGCTGTTTCAGAACACAGGATCAAAAAGTATGTCAGTCATAAAATAAGATATTAAGGCTTCTCATGGCCACTGATTACAGTGCCTGCATTTCTATTTATATTAGTCCTAATATGTATATCATGATCAGAATCCTGTGCACTGAAATAAAATAAAATATCTGCTGACCCCCTCTCCTCTATCTATCTATCTATCTATCTATCTATCTATCTATCTATCTATCTATCTATCTATCTATCTATGTCCCCTCCCTCTATATTAGGTTCCCCTCCCTTAACAGCACAATGATCAAACATTCTTCTCTCTTTCTGTTTTTATTTTAATTTCAACATTTTTTTTCAATTTATTTTTCTGATTTACTTTTGATTAATTTTTTTCCCATTTTTATTTTTTTATTTTTTATTTTTGTTACGTTTCTTTTTATTTCCTCTTTCTTTTTTATCTCTTTTTGTTCCCCCCTCCTTTAGATCGTAATGTCTCACTTGCCTATAGTTAAAAGGTAAGCCTTGTCATTGACATGCCCTGTTTTGATTGGCTCTTCCTACTGACATTTCAGCCTAACCTATGTTGTCCTCTGATTCCTCCACTACTATGTATTTACTTCTCCATGTTTCTTCCTCTGCTTCTTCTACAGTTGAAGCAGGTCTGCATGTTACTATTTAAAAGGAAGTGTCATTTTCAAGTCACCTGTGAGTGTAGTTTGGTATGACTCACTGGGATTTGTTAGGATGTAATAGGACATGAGTATCAGAGAGATTTTTTTTCTCTCCTCTGTTTCATTATGTAACTTCATCTTTAGACTGAGATAGTGATGTGTGGATCAGCTCTGATGTCGTTCAAATCCACATGCATGCATGAATAATCCACCCAATCAAATTATTTTCCACGATTTAGAGACATGCACCCAATCACACATTACCATTAGGATATTACATGTGATGATGATGGCTGGTTTTAAATAAACAATATTTATTTAAAGTAAAAGTATTCTTTTTTGGTAAAATTAAAATGACAAGTTATTTTCACAAACAACATTTTAAATTAAACAATGTAAAAGCTCATAATAACGTTTTGACACTGCCCAAAATAAACAATAAATCATAACAAGTTCAGTAGTCCAAACACAGAGTCTAATTCGTGCCTGGTGAAAAATTAAGCTCAAAATATATTCACATTTGAGATGATGTAATTAATATTTTCCTGAAATATTATATATTATATGTGGATTAACCGCAGTGCCCGTGGATATAACGGTGAGCTGCGCATCACTAGATTGAGATAACTGACCCAGAAGGAATGGTCAACGGTGGGCAGTGAACACAACCAACCAACAACTGCAAACAAAGCATAATGACTAGGGACATGTTGAACGGATGTAAAGCTGTTCCTTTGCCTTTGCTGTGATTATTTTAAACCTTCATTAACTGATTTTTTTTGGCCACTTGGGAGCACCAGAAAAGCTGTAAACAAAACATCGATATATTACAACCTCATAAAGTTATTATGGCAACATGTTAGCAAACAGTTTCAATTGTCTAGTCCAATATTCACTCTTCTTTTAGCTCTGTGTTTGGTCTCTACCAGCTCCTCAGGTAAGTCTCTGGCTCTAAGTGCGAAATGCTCCACCCTGTTGACCAGGTAGGCGCTGACTTTGTCTGTTTGCTGTTTGGTGAAGGACAGGTTTTATAAAGCCTGTTGCGGCCAAAAAAACCACTCACTTGAGCCACGAGATCCTAACTAAACGATTAAGATTAAACCCTAACCCTAAACCTAGATCAGCCGGGTTGTTGACCATAAAACTAAAACAATGAGCTGAAAGACTCGATGGAGCTATGGGGAAATGCAGAAGTGGGTGATAATTCTTTGTGGATTCATCACAATGATGCAAAATTTAAAAATATTGCTTGATTATAGCAGCTTTAAGCTCATTGGCCACAACCAGCTACATGTTGGCCCTGCCCACAGCTAAGAGTTTAAACTATAGCCATAAACATACACAGACTGACAGTAAATTATTTATCCTAGGAGACTATAGCACTGTAATGTGCTATAGTCTTTTTAAAGCTATTAAAGCTGTAGCTTCAATAGGTAAAAGCATCAGAATCAGACAAAAAAAAAAAGTTTGTCCAAATTGAGTTTTTGACTCCATTTGGTCCTCATGCACATTGTTTCATGTTGACATGCTTCAGTTTTTGTCCCCTTGTGTCAGACGCTGTGTGTGACTTTTATTCCTTAAACACTAAATCTCATACCAAACTACACTCAGTGGCAGGATGAAAGTGAGAAATCCTTTTTATTAACTTGAGATTTCTTCTCTTCTGTTTTACTCACAATCATTTTCCTATTTGTTCTGTTAACCTGCAATGTCACACCGACCTGGTAAAACTTTACCTCAAACCTTTTGTATGCTCCTCTCTTCTGGTTTTGATGATGTAGCACTGTAGCACCTGCTCTGACACACACACACACATGCACACACACTTACTTTATAATATACAATAGGTAAGAAATATGTCTTCATAAATAGACGCACTGTCTGAATGTATAACTTTAAACTAACATTAAAGTTTTGTCTTTGGTAGAGTTGTTTGTGTTGCTACGTTTGAAATAAGTAACTAAGTGGCGAGAATAAAGAAAACTAAGCATAAAAATAATGTCGTAAGAACATGTTCTGTATCATCATATATATGTACATGTAAATTGTGTGTTGTCGGTCTGCATGTTTTTTATGTCTTTCCTTTCTGTTCAATGTTTTGAGCTGTTTTTTCTTTACATGTGAGGCAACTTCTTATTCTTTGTTTTTATTCATTTTTTCTGTCTTCTTTCTCTTCTCTGACCATCCCTCCTTTACTCTCCTGAACTTCTCCTTTGCCCTGTCCTTTCCTTTTTATACCTTTTCCTTTACCTATCTCTTTCCTGTTTGTTTTCCTTTTTCTCCCTTTCCCTTATTTTTATTGCTCCTCCTTTCTGGTTTCATTCTTTCCTGTTTCCTCCTGACTTCCTTCTTCTCACCTCTTTTTGTTCCTCTCACAACTCCTTTTCTGTCTCTTGTCCTGTCTCCTCTCCTATCTCCTTTCCTCTCCTCTCCTCTCCTCTCCTCTCCTCTCCTCTCCTCTCCTCTCTAGAGGAGCATAGTGTTATGTGTCTGATGGTCCCTAAACCACTAGACAGCTTTAACCTGCTGAGGGTGAAGGGGAAAGGCCTCAAGCAGAAGGTCCTTCATGCTAGCTGTGAATGGTATGCTGTATAGATAGAAAATCACCTGACCACATTTCATTTCTTTTCTCTCTAGTCTAGTTTTGTGGTCTAGTTTCCCAAAAGGTCCTGTGGAATTTTCCAATTAGAAAAGCCTAATAAGATAAAGGTTCATTAACTGGAAGTGTAAAGTGAACCGTCTTGACTTCTGGTTAATATAAACTGTAAAGTCAGATAAGTACTGCCTTTAAAAGTTATGTGATGTATTTGACTGTAACCTGTAAATCACTTTAACCTGACTGTTGTATCAACAGTTGTGTTTTTGTTTGACTCTGGTCAAATAAAGTCAGTATAAGTTTTTTTGATAAATCTTCCAGAGTGAAGGTTCTTGATCTTCTCCTCCACTGAAACCTGAACAGAGATCAGCGATGGTCAATAAGACCTGACCTTCAGAGAAGAGACTGAAAATGTGGATATTGAGCAGTTTGTGTAGCATTATAACTTCTATGTTATCACTAAGTGCTAATATTGTGAATATATTAAGCAAAAGGCCGGTGTCAGACATTTGATGTCAAGTTTATTTATGTAGTTTTTAATGACACAAACGGTGTGAGGGGAAAAATCTTTTCAGAAGCTTCATTCTATTTCATTGTTGTTTTTCTCTAGTAGAAGTTGATGCGTCAACTCAGCAAAGTTTGATTTTCATAACATTCATGGTTTTTGTAGGACGAAAACTTGTCTAGTGGTTTTTAAGGAAGTAGGAAGAACCCAATATAGAATTAAAAACAAGTTGTTAGTGCTTATATGTTGCTTGTCTGTCTGTCTGTCTGTCTGTCTGTCCGTCTGTCTGTCTGTCTGTCTGTCTGTCTGTCTGTCTGTCTGTCTTTGTAGGAGTCTTTGCAGTCTGGAGTAGAGCATCATGGGGTGTGATGTAATTTTCTTTTTGTCCCTTCATCTTTTTCTCCTGTTATTTACCTCCTTCCTCCTTTCCTTTATCCCTCCATCTCCCATTAATCCATCCTCCTCCCTTGCCCCCTCACCTCACCCCTCCTCCTCCTCCTCCTCCTCAGGCTCCTGCCTAGAGATTCTTCGGGGAGAAAGTCCAGCTCTTGGGGAGGCCGGGAGCGACTCAGCATCCCCCATGTCTCCTCGGACTAGCAAGAGCCGCATGTCTATGAAGCTGCGGCGCTCCTCTGGATCGGCCAATAAGACTTGATCTTTCTAGGTTCCTTGGCTCAGTTGGAACTGACACTTCATATCATGACAGCGAACGAACACTGGTCTTTTTCTCACATCAACCTATGAGAATTACACCAGAGGACATTTGGTCTATAATTGCACTTAAAGTACAAGAAATTAAGAAAGACACAACTTAAAATGAACTGCTCTGGGGAAATTCACATAGATGTTATATTCAACAGGAAAAATGATGCTCAGTGTTCAGGCAGAAGATGTTGACTCATGTCCCCTCCAGCATGTTGCCGCTCTGATCAGACACTGGTCTTTTATGTACAAAACGCTTTGTCGCACACTTGTACTCTCAAAAGCACATGTAATAGTATTTCATGGACTATACTATACTGTAACTTTATTTTGAAATTGCTCACAGCTGCTGTATTTATCCTCAGCTTTGCTTACAAGAAAAAAACCCCCACAGAAACCAGTTGACCCAGTGCTGCAGCATGCTGATCTTCGCCATAGTGGGAGAAGCTGAATAAGTGCTGCCTATAGAGAGCAGTTTAAGTTCATAATCTGTGCCATGATAAAAACTCCAGTGTTAAGTCAGACCGCAAAAAGCTAAAGTGTGCCACATTACACACTGCTCTGTAAACCAGTTTTGGAGCGCGTATTCAACGACCAACAAAGAGCAGAGTCTCTTCAGTCTCTGTGTGTGTTGTGTCGTTGAAGGTTGCCATGGGAAAACTTGTATATTTGTACTATAGTCGGGCTGTGTGTGTACAGACAGAACCATGAGTTTTGATATAAAATGAAACAAGAGTGACGACTGTAAAGTGTTGCATGGAGAAAGCAAGATAAAAGTCTATTTTTGTTCTCAGTGCAGCGTTAGGTCTATAAAGATAAAGATAAAGGGCCGGGGTCAGTTTCTATTCAGTCCTTGAAATGTAAATAGAATCTCATTCATTTGCAGACAATAAAAAAAACATCTTGTGGACTTGGCAGCGTTCTCGAGCCAAACATCTGTGTTTGAATTCAGGAGAAAGAGCTTAAGGGACTGAAAGTGACCCGACCTGTTCTCTTAGTGGAAGGAACAATGTTACTGTATGTACAGTAATGATGGCAGGATTATTTGTCTAGAAAATTAACAAGGCAAGCTGATCAAAGAAAAAGCACCTGTTACTGTTGTTTTTGCTCATGCTGTAAAATGTGGACAAGCACTGATGTTCATTGCATCTATTTTCTTTCTATTTTTTTTTTGTGTGTGTTTTGATCCAAACAAGAATGTTGCTGTATATCACTCTGTCATCTGATGCAATGGAACCACAACTTTCCTTTCTTTGTTGATCTGAGTACACATATATGAATATCTATAAGAATGTGTACAGTGTGAGGAGGTGTGTATATACTGTTCTGTGAAAGTTAGCTGCCAAAACCAAACTGGTTTATCCTCAGACCACATATCTGCTAAGTGGGTTAACACTACACATTTTATGTTTCAGTAGTTTCTCTTTCATAACCAGTTTGCACTTACACATGCTTTCGGGATTTAAACTTAATCTCATTTTAGCTCAAATAGCCAAACGTTACTTTACAGTTAATATGTTTAACCTTGGTACCACAGCTAGACTGGGGAAATTTGAAAGAAAAATGAGCATTAACTGTTGTTAAATATCACTTTGTTTTTTCTCTAAAATGAATTACTAAACATCACTATAATGACAATGTTGTATTTATCAGAATATACTGTATACTGGGGATTTAAGGCCATGTCACTCCTGATAAATGCCAGTGAGAGAAGTTTTAGTCTCATTGATATCTGTGTGTTTCTCTGACTCAGTTACTCGGGCCCAGTGTTTTTCTGTTAGAGGCATTTTTAGGGATGGAAAATTAAAGTATACAGAAGAGAGATACTGTAGATCCAAGGCCAAAGAGGGGAAGGAGAGAGAGAGAGAGATATGTCAATTTATCTTCACTTTGATTTGAATGTTTTGTTTATGTCTTTTTTTTTATTTTTTCTTTATTCTTTATTAAATCTGCTCTTATATTTAGACTCGTCTTCAGTTCCACTTCTGGATGGAGGGGATCAGCATGTAATCACAATCCAGAAAATGTAACTTAAACACTACCATAGATGATTTTCATGTATTTAACGTCCTCATTTCAGCTGAACTTTAAAAAAAAAAAAAAAAACTGACACGGCTTCAAATTAGCATAGATGAGTTATAAATGTCACGGTTGTGGTTTTACAGGGTTTATCAGGATTGAATGTTCTTCCATTTATTTAACATGATGGCTTGTTTGTCCATTGTTTCTTTTTTTCCATAGCCTGATCTCTGGTAAAAGAAACATGTATATGAAAGATCTATATTTGAAAATGTAGGTCTAAGTTAAAGGTTTTGCATTATGCTTCACTGCTTGAAGTGTATTCACAGCTGTATTTTCTGTTGCTGTTTATTTTATTTTTTTATTTCAGCCATAGTGTCTCTGTAGAGAGGAAAGGGATTGTAAAAACTTTTTTTTTTTACCCTTCCGTGGGGTTGAATTTGTTAAAAAATTGTCTCTGTAAATTGAGGTCAAACTCATGTTGTGTTACTTTGTATGTGAATATTTGAAGTCAGCTGAGATCAAAGTTGTCCCTTATAAGTTATTGCTGTTACCGATATTATTGCTGAGGTTGAAGCATTGTTGACTGGTTGAGACAGATCTTATGGTAGCACCCTGGGACTGATTTGTACCCGCCAGTAACCAACCAGGTCCCAGTTTGCTTGGTTCCATCCTGTAAACAACCTGAACCTGTTCACATGACCAGATCAAACTCTGTCCTAGAACCTAAATCACACAGCAATGCCCTGTTTATTTACACTCCCTGATACTAAGCCTCCCTTCCTCTTCCATTTAAAATACTTGCGACTCCACACGAGGACTTGAGTCCTGATGCTGCTTTAATGTCCCATGAGAAAGATTGGGAAATTTCACACTTCAAAATTTGTTTTAAAGATTGTAAATACTCCTCAGGATCTTGTTTGGCATGCATTCAAAAAGTTCTGCTAATTCAACTGTACTGAACTCACATGTATGAATGCATGTTCATTTAGTTTAAAAAGCCTGATTAGCAGCAACCAAAATGTATAGAAAATCGAAGTTACCCAAAGCCTTTCAGCATTATCAAAAATTCATATCAGCTCCCCTGAGGCACTGTGCTCGGGTTGTTAAGGTAGAAATATTTTTCAACCTTTTGGCCCAAATCTTCATTGTCTGAAGAGAGGAGACTTCAGACTCCCCTTTCTTCTCCCTGTTTGCGCAGATTTCCCTCCATAAATAACAATTTTGATCATATGTGCCTGACGTAGATTGAACACGAGGGCTGCGATGGATACGGGTTCAGCTGGTGTCCAGATGTTAGTTTGGGACGATGCTGATATATGTAACTACTGACTCTACATACTGCATGACACCAGTTCAGTACTAACTGCCTGTGTTGACCATGTATCAGCTGTGCCACAACACACACACGCACACACGCTTGCACATACAAACTCCTCATACTATGTTACTGTCAAACCTGTATTATGTAAATGTGTAACATCTGTTTCAGACACAGAGCGTGGACGTGCAATGATGGAATTTAACAATAAATGATTCGTACCACTCATTGCTAGACCTATTCATATATTGTGTGTGTGTGTGTGTGCAACAAATTTTAAAAAATAAAATGACAGAGAACTCATTGATCATACTGTATTACCATTTATTGACAATAATTTGAATAAATTTCACATTCAACTTCAAACATATCAAAATAGTACTAGGCTTCTGAGAACCACAATTACATTTTAGCATCATGAAGGCATTTAGCAAATATTTGAACAGTATTTTATAATCATTGAACACAAAAGACATTTTTTACTAGCAGTACTAACATTAAATGTTCCATTTCTGTATGAAAATATTTTATAGCTGATAGGTTAACTGGCACATTTACTATAAAAGGCATATTCTGTCTGATGATCTGATTATTTTCTCTTTTTGTGTTACTGTTTTTTATCGATCACTGTACATGAAATAGAGTTAGGACATTGATTCTGTCTCCAGTTTTCAGGTTACAGAAGGTCACTTTCTAAAATGCGATCACAGGTCACTGATTATGGTCTGGCTCTGCTTAACTTATTACACCAGTCAGTAATGTAACCCACTGCACTGCCTCTTAACATCAGTGTAATCTGATTACTTCGCCACAGAAATATGTAGAACATGAGTTTAAACATCTGCCACATGTAGCGAGAGCTGTGTTAATCATTGCTTCAGTATATATGTAACAGTATTCCTACTTTCTGTAGTCATGATCAAAATTCTGTCAAATTTCAGCATGTCCCATTCGCTCAGATGTCAGTTGAGTTTTAATGTCAAATCATTTACAGAGCAAAGGTTTAATATGAGACGGAGCGAGAGAAGCTGAAAAGAGATGGCTCTCTCAGTACAGATTAGAAATATACAAAGTGTCTGATTTATGATTGTGTGATGGACTAATCCGTGTAACAACAAATTAAATACTGAGATAGTTTGTTTTTTTATCAAAGGATTTCAACAAAAGAAATTTGAATAAAGGACACTTTAATTTCCCTCCAGTTTAAAATGTCTATCATATAATAATCCTGCTTTTACTTTATCAAGGAGCATCCAAAATCTGTTGACTGTCCAGTGAATGGAAATATCCCTTTTTTTCTAGCAAAGCAAGATAGGTTCACTCATGATAATATTACAACCCTGCTTGTTCACTTTTGTTTGCAGATATGGTTTCAGTATCATGGACATGGGTACCATGGGTTTGGTTAATTTGTTTTCATTGAGTTGTTTATTTAGTTTCAGCACTATGGACAGTTGCAGTTTAACTATCAGTGTTATATTTAATTTTATAGTGTCAGCATGTGGACCATTGTGAAACAACTTGCAAGTCAGATTGCTTACTGATCTTGAAACAAAGGCACAGTGACTCAATCCGTATCCTGTTACACTAATGATATACTTTTTGTCTTTAAACCACAACTGAAACAAACAGGCCGAAAATTACAACAGAACCAGAGCCGATATAAATGTCGACATGAGTGTGAATGAAAACAACTACTTAATAGTTTCCCCGTAATGGCAATCGATGACTTATCAATCTGTTTGCTTCAGTGTCTGTATCTACGGCCGCACGGTCATCTGCAGCAGCATCACCTGCCGGTTCTCGGTGGGATGAGACTTGTTGATGTGTCTCGTGAGCCCCGGGGAGCTGAAGAACGTGGACGGACAGTGTTTACAAGTAAAGATCTGTTGCTGCTGCTGCTGCTGCTGCTCGCATTCCCCAGTGCCGCTTTCCTCTCTGTGCGCGTGGAAAACGTCTGGCCTGAGTCCTCCTCCCAGTGTTCCCGCCAACAACTCGTCCCTCATCGCGTGCCACAGACGGTGCTTGTCCCTGATTTCAACCGACGGGAAGCGCGCGCCGCACAGGTGACACAGGAACACTTGGCTCTGTCCGCCGCTGTTCTCGCGCGCCTGACCATAAGATGGTGGGGGCGGAGACGCTGCTGCTGTCATCTCGTGTGCGGCCAGGTGTTTCTTGAGGTAAGCCTGTCGGCGGAATTTCTTCCCACAGTACCGGCACTCGTACACTTCCTCCTCCGGTAACGACTGGACAAACGGTAAAGGAGGATGAGAGAGTGACGGTGGCTGCTGCTGGGGCAGGTCCGCGCGCTCCTCTGGGTTGCCATTCAGCAGCAGGAGACTGGACGGTGGGCTGTCCGCCGCTCTCACCTGCTGCTGCAGATCCAGACAGCTCTCCCCCGGGTTACGGTAATGAGGCGAGGAATCATAGTGAGGAGGCGCGAGGCTGTCGTTGTCGGGGCTGTCACGAGACCGACCGTGAAGCAGGAGCAGGGACGGCTCACGCCTGACGCGGGAGCTGTCCAGCGCTCTGTGGTGCTGATTCGTGTTAATGCGCAGCAGCTCGTTCTCTTTGCCCTCCATCTCCAACGGCTGCCTATCGTGCTGAATGAGCCCTCGTGCCTCTTTTAACGGCTGGCTCTTGTTTGTCTCTGCTCCTTGGTTGTTTACCGGACGGGGTTTGTGCCAACGGCGGTGGGAGGCCAAGTTGGCGGGGCAGCTGAAGACTTTGTCGCACTCGGGACACCGGTACTCCACGCGCACTATGCGAGAGCACTTGTGCTGCGCGAGGGAGAAAGGGTCGGGGTACTCCTCTTTACAGAGCTGACAGATGAATTCTCCCAGCGGTTGATTCCCGGTGGGAGCAGACGACTTCTCCCGCTGTCTCCTCAGCTCGGGGCTCTCCTTCTTGATCCGCAGACCCAAAACCGGCGAGGTCGTGACCTCATCCTCGAAGTTGAGTTTCCGGTTTACTTTGGGTTTCTTTGACGGATTTCCCGCTGATTGTTTGTGGTGTCTGTTGCTGTTCAATCGTTGATCCGTTTCAAGGTACGAGTGTTTTCTCCCCGTGTGATGCTGCTCCTGGTTCATCAGCGTCAGTGGCGGGAACAAGTGCACGTGAGTCATACTCGGGTCATATTTGTCATTGTGACCGTAGGATGGCGCATGGTGGCGGCTGCTGCTCGCGAGAAGCCTCTCGATGGAAGCGGACACCGAGGTTTGAGTGGAGCTCACCAGGAACGGCAGCTCCGGTAACTCCGACACCGGCGACGATGTCAGGCACCTGCCGGGAAACAACAGTTGCTTCTCTCCTTCCTCTTGCTGCTCCAGCAGTCTCGTGCCGACCGGTTTCACGGGACTGCAAGACTCCGTTAATGTCGGGTCGCGTGGAGGTGGAGGTGGGAAGAAGCAGGAGAAATCTCCATCAGGAGTCAAAACGTCCACCTCGCTCACCTGCTCCTCGGTCTCCGGTAACTGCGCGCGCCGGTCCGCTTCAGCCTCCAGCGCAGACTCCATGTGTGGGCTCCACGCCTCTCTGACACCGGCGGAGTCCTCGCGGGACACCGGGAGCAGTCCATCCGGCCGTTCAAACGGGAAGACACTCAACACATCGTTCTCCTTCAACACCTGCGGTTTGCTTGTTTCAGGGTTGTCACTGCTGCTCCTGTCGCCGTCATGTGTTGCAGCTTTGTTGGTACTGTTGTTCCTCAGCCGGTATGACGCTGAGCATCGCCGGTTTCTCTTAACCAAAAATCCTCGAGGCATGGTGACGATGATGATGGTGCTCGGCGCGTGGCAGCACCAGGCGGAAAGAGCAACAACTGTTCTCTAGAAGCCACTTTCAAGTAGAGCTTTGAAGTGCAGAGGAGAGAGAGAGAGAAAGAGAGAGAGAGAGAGAGAGAGAGAGAGAGAGAGAGAGAGAGAGAGGCGCGCGCAGGTGTGATGAGAGCACGAGAGAGACAGTAACTAACTCTAACCGTGATGCGCGTTTGTTTCTCTCTCTCACTCACATGCACAAGCAGTTCCTCCAAAACTGGTTAGGTCTATTCACTTGTGAAATCAAATATCAGTTTAAAAAAACTGGCCTGCATTTAGGGGACGAAGCAGAACAACGACGTATGACTGAAAACATTATTTAGGCTATAGTCACTGTGATGAAGATTTAATTTAACTCCCAAAATAACTCAAAAACATTGTGCTATTTTCGATTAAAAGAACTACAGCACTCACGTTTAAATGTGAAATGAGTCTGGAAGTACGCGGTTTGATGTTTGTTAGCCATCCACCCATCCATGGACATGGATATTGCTTAAGTGTTTTGAAGAAGCGTTTATCCTTAAAATAAACGCATACAAATAATGTAGGCTGTATGTTATAGGCCACTTTTATATGACCTTTGTCATTCTTTAACATTGCGTTTTTACTGTTGTATTACCCTCCTGTCACAATGTGGATCAGCTGGTTCCTCTCAGGTAGGCTACAGATTTTTAGTTTTTAATAAATATTGTTAACATTTTTGAGAACTTCAGTTTTTTACTTTCAAAAGGTAAAAAAGGAATAAAGGACAAAACGTTTTTATTACATTAACGCATCATCATTATTATTATCATATTCACTTCATATTCAATCCTTTTTTATCAGTCATTTTCTGGGTGTGCAATAAATAATTGCTGTTGTGTGTATGTCGGAGTGTCATTAGGAACAGCACCGGTGGGGACTCAGATACAAATCATCTTTTAAAGACTACTAATGACCGTTTCTGTCCTGCTGAAGTGTCTGATTATCAGTGTCTTTGTTTTTGTTGGTGGGAATACCTCGGGCATAGCTTTCCCTCTGCGCGTGTATGCGTGTTTGTTTGTATGCGCGTGTGCTCGTGCATGTACGCTATGTTATCTCTACAGTAGAACAGAGAGACATTGCAGATGAACGAGATGGTAATCTGTGTGTGTGTGTGTGTGTGTGTGTGTGTGTGTGTGTGTGTGTGTAGGGACTATTCACACCCGTCCTCCCCCACTAGAAGCTGCTCTGGCTGATAAGAGATCGGAGAGAGATTCGTTCATCTATCCATCCTCTCCCCCGGGCTCGACCGGCCCCTCCGCGCGGGCCAGGCGCTCTATAGCCCGGCCAGTGAGCTCAGGCCAGCCGGCGTCGCTCCCTGGAAATCAATCAAGGCGGATGAGCGTGAGAACGAGCTTGAGGGTCGGGCTGCTGGCTTGACGAGAGCCGCCTGGGGAATAGAAATGAGAATAGAAATGAGATGGGTGGTGGAGAGTCCAACACTAAAAACTAATTAAGCACCAAGCCTCTGGATCTTTAGTTTGGTTGTTTCTCACTGTAGCCTAATTGTCTCCCACTGAGAGGAAACCTCGACCTGGTTCAGCCTTTATTGACCCCAAAGACTGAAATAGTAAACGTGTGAGTGACTGAGACCTCTGTTCATTTTCATCAGTTAATCCAGAACATAAAAGAGGAAATCTAGAATAAAAATGGTAAATCAAAGGTAATAAACAAATTCAAAATTGTGACTTTTTTATCTCATAATTTATTTTCACAATTTTCTATTTGTTTCAATAAATCACCTTCTCCTCTGCACAGTTTAGGTATTGCACCAGGCAATTAGTAATTACTGTGATGCTTTAAAGGCAGTATAGATCAAGTGAATTTTGTTCCCAGTGGATGGCAAATCAGCTGTTAAAATTAGAAGTAATGCAACTATTTTTTTAAGGCACCCTCATTTTATTTAGCCACTGTACTGCAGATGTAGTATTCAATAAAATGTCACCATATAATTTTTGCAGTGAAAAATGTCCAGTTTAAGTCAAGTTTAAACCCTGGGGTTATTTGTATGCAACCAGCAACAACAGGCAATGTCTTGTCAGTTTGATGATGTTGAAATGAGGAAATTTTTATTTACTACTGAGTTGACACACATCATATGGTAATATTCAGAGAAGAAAGGTGATTTAAATTGCATCATTGGAAGAAAGCGTCAGGCTGGCACACAGCGCTCTGCCTGGAGGGTAAATGAATGAAACTAGTTTGATGTGGGGATGGACAGGACAGAGCAGGCAGCTCTCAGGAGCTTAAAAACAGGGTAAATGTTCTCAATCTCCTGTAAAAATATGGATCCACAGACAGTCTGGAGAGGCTGCCAGCTAGAGGACATGAAGTGTCTGTTTGTTTGTGAGGGTGTGTGTGTGTGTGTGTGTGTGTGTGTGTCTTTAGTTTGCATCGCATCAGTGGGCAGTGAGGTGGATAATCCTCCAGACTGCTGAAAATGACTCTATTGATCTGTGCTTCTCAGTCACAAGCCTTTAAGTACTGCAGTATTATACAGCTGAGCTGTTGTGTTGTCTGTCTGTGTTTACATAGAGTTTACATCTTAACTAGAACTGATGGGAATTCTGCTTGTACATGATTTTGTGTGTTGTGTGTGTATGTGTATGTATGATAGGAAAAATCAATCGGATTTACCACATTTCACTTGTTAATTAGGAGCCTTGTAGTTCAACTTTAGGACTTGGAGTTCTGGTTGAATGTAATGGTGAGAATAGGTTTAATTTAGGGTTAATGATGTGAACGTAGCCAAGGGAAGGTCCTCATAAGTGTCGTAATACATTATCACCTTGAGAGGGCTTTAGTTAAAGGCCTCATGACTCCCATAACTAAAACAAGTTCCTGTCTCCATTCTGTCAGTTGTTACTGTGATTGTTACAATAAAAAGAGAGTGATATACTGTATATATACAGTATATTTAATTTTTTTTTATCAAATTCAAGTATTCAGCCATAAAATTTGTCAGTGCTCCATGATCATAGTTGAGTATTATATTGGGCATTAATAGGGACCATGCATGCTCACTCTGTGGTCACTCTGCTGTGTGATTGGGGATGTCTGTCACATCTCAGTAAAGTGGTCATCTGTCACCATCTAGTGGTGGATTGTCCCAGAACACAAAATGATAGTTTGGCGGTGCTTTGTTGGCTTGTCAGAGAAACCATGTTGTAGCTGGATGATTCAGTTAAATTGTTTATTGGGTTTGGAAGTAGTGGTTTGACTAAACAAATCTACTTATTAGCTCCCGACCGTATACAACCAACAGATAGAGTTTTAACCTTTCTGGACTAAACCAACACGGATGAGAAATCCTTAAAGTGAAGACCTGATGATGTGGCTGAAAGCTCAAGAAAGGATGTAAGTGGGCTTTGAGTTGAGATCATTTTGTTAAACTGCATGATTTGTTTGACAAAAAAGTCTCTCCTGAGTTCGTGCTCTCCTTTTTCTGGAATTTTCATGCATATGACATGATCTTCATCAGCAGATGGTGTTTGCTTCGTTGTCACAGAATTGTAGGTGTGTTCAAGCTTCCACTTTTTTTCTGAGCACTTGAAGAAGTTCTTGTCCATGTTTGTATCTAAGGTTTAGGTTTAAAGTTCGTTCTTGATCAATGAATGATCCAGGTTTAAATTTCAGCGTGAGCCGACCTTCACCATGCTGAAGTAAGTCAGTCCCTTTAGTCCTTACCAGCTCCAAGGCTGACCTCTGACCTCACTCTGGAGCAGAGCGTCAAGAAGATTATTATTATAATTATAAAAGTCACACTGCTCTTTTTATTAGCTGATCTACTGACAGCAGCCCTCTTACTCCCCCTGCTGACAGAGGACTTGTCTGCAGAGAAAACAGTTGGCTCCATAGATTAATTCCTCCGGGTTCCTGGTATTAATTCATTCTCCTTGACAGTAGGCTGGAGTGTTTGGTGGCCTGCTTGTGTGTGCGCACACCCAATGACCAGCTCAGCGTTAATCAGGTCAGATTTTCCCCTGTTGGCACATTGGGGTCATTGTTTAGATTTGACCTCCAGGAAAGAATCATTTGACTTAGGTTGTCTGTTGCCCACCAGCACTAAATGACAGGAAACTGGAGCTGTGAATCTCTACAGGATCATCACCATTTGCTGAATCTGTTTAGCAACTTTTTCAACAAAGTGCTAAGAGATAGAGGGGATGGAAAACAATCAGCTTTAGTAAAGGGAAGTCTGCACTGCTGACTGCACAAACCTCCACAGTTTGTTAATGCAAACTCAGCAAAATCCAGTAACATCAACAAATGAGTTAACGACACTATTGCAAAGTAATGAGAATGGAGCCCAGCTGTGTCTTTAAAGTTTGCTGTGTGTATTCCCTTGAGGAAGTTGACACAAAGGTTACTTGCACTGTTTGCCATTATGAAGCTACAGCTGTTAGCATCCAGTATTTCTTCACAAAGTGGAAAATATGAGTTTTTTTAGTTTTTTTTTTTTAGGTTTCAATGTTATAGTAAGTGGTTGATGAATTAAATGCAGACTAAATGCAATTTCATGATTTTTTTTAAGGGCATGCACCTATATTCCCACAATATGTCAGACTTTCAACCTGTCCAGTCTCAGTCTACTTCAGCCTTTCTTCATCTTTTATGAAAGTCATAATATGGCGAACAGACTCAATATTAAAATGTAGTCTTACTGTAATCATGCCAGGTTATAAGGAGCTGAGGAAGGGATATGAAGACCTGTTACTAAAGTATTCAGCAATACTACAAAATAAAATATTGTTTTAAAAGCAAAAGCCCTGCATTTAAAATAAAATAATAAAATAAACTAAAGTATCAAACATAAACATTTTCAGCTGCAAAATAGGCTGTTTTCATAGCAAACATTTTGATAAAAATTCTTATATTGTCACATATTATAATATTGTCTTATTATTACTGATCAGTCACAGCATATTTATCTTGTGGCTGGAGGTGAAGCTAATTTTAACTACTTTAGATACTGGTGAGAAGTTTCATCTGCAATAATACAATCATATCTTATAAACTGATCACGTTTATGTTAGTAGAAACTGTCAATGTTCCATGAATGTAGTGCAGTAAAAAGTACAATATTTCCATCTGAAATGTAGCTTCATAACTTTAATGTGCATTTTGCTTAGAATGTATTTATTTGTTGCTCTAATAGATTTTGAATGGTGGTGGAGAGCACTGTCTAAAACATCCGTCCAAAATCTCCCTTAGGAGTTCAATTGGGTTGAGATCTGGTGACCGTGAAGGCCACAGGATATGATTCACATCATTTTGACACTCATCAAACCACTCTGTGACCCCTCCTTGTTCTGTGGATGGGGGCATTGTCATCCTGGAAAAGACAACCACTCCCACAAGGATGGAAGTGTTTCACTCAGAAGGTGATCACTCAGAACAGCTTTGTATTGATTTGCAGTGACCTTTCTCTGTAAGGGGACTAGAGGACCTAAACCATGCCAGCAGGATGCCCCCCACAGTTTAACTGAGCCACCAGATCCCCTCACTGTAGTGGTGAAACACTCAGGCCTGTACTGTTCTTGTGGTGTGCACCACACATGCACTCACCCACATTTGTCCACATCCCTGTAGAACAGTGTCTGTGGAGTTTTTACAACACTGAACTCTCAAATGTGCATTCATCTTTGTAACTGAAGCCACACTATAATATCCCTCTCTGTGTCACTTTTGACCAACTGTTGTTGCTGACACAGTCTCAACAAGTCCTGCATTGATATTCTCATTATATATGGGCTGTAGACCACAATTTCCGACCCTATTTACTGAGTGTCTTTCCCACAGATCTAACTCTTCCCTTTTGAAAAATAAAGCAGTTGAGGAATCTTTGTGACTGAAGCTCCTGTCCTGACAACAAACCCTCTTTCAAAGTCGCTCAGATCTTTTTCTCTTGCCATCTTGATACATAATCAGAATCAACTGTTAATTGCTTCATTGTACCATGCAGTGCACATGTGCATTTGTTTCTCCACCCATTTATGTATGTTTTTCCTTTTATCTGTTACCTGTCGGTAACTGAAACAACACCATGTGACTGTAAAATCCTCCAGTAAATACTAAGGAAGTTCCTCCTGACAAGAAATTAGTCTGCAGTCCTGAACAGGAAGCAGGAAATTGAGAAAAGGGGAAGCAGGTAAAGACACAGGTGAACATAATGAAACCTCAGTTCATTCGGGGGTTTTATGTCTCACAGTCACAAGTTCACAATCTGATTTAATGAGTCATCGTTTACTTTGACCCTTCACCTTAATGTATTTGACTGTGTGTGTGGCAGGTTGAGTGATTCATTATGAGTCAGTCACTCAGTGCTGCACATGTCTACTCATGTCCTGAATGCCCAGGGATTCCCACGGACACACACAAACGTGCACAGAAACTGTACAGTCAGTTTATGCACGTTGTCACACATTGATGAAACATCATGTAACAATGACTACTATTCTAGAAAAGACTCAATAGAAATAGCTGACATAGCTTAACACACCTTCAGACTCAGTTATAAAGCAAAGACACAGACACTTTACATATAACAAAACCTCAATTGATTCAATGCCTATGTTATTTAAATTAATATAATTACTTGACAACTTTCATAAATAATCTCTCTGCTATGTAGGCTGCTGAGTACCAGGCAAAACTGAATAGCAGAACCTGACGGTGTGGGCTCATTAGGCCAATGTTATTTCACTGCTTACGCTGGCTTTTCATGTTTCCTCTTGTGTGATCAATGAGTTTTCATTGTTTTTACTGTAACCGAGAGAAAGACTGAGGGGAGAGATTAGGCTGCCGAGGAAAATATGTCGCATTCATTCAACTCAGTTTGTTATACAGTACGTACTTTGTTAAAGTAAAAGCTAAGATAAATACATTAAATAAATTAAAAATCCAATGTTAAAATCATATAGTACATAAGGGCATATCACATATACAAAAAGCACACACTTGCCTACACGTACTGTATGTATCACATACAGTAAAATCTGAATAATCTGCTCATCAATGTGTAAAACTGTGTTTTACAACCAGTTAAATGTCTGTCTTGACTTTTTCTCAAGGGCACAGTCTCTGAAATACTGCTGTGAAATGAACTGCAGCTAGTTAAACAATGGTGATGTATTAAAGTAAATCCTTCATGTTCAAAACCACGATGACATAAACAGAACTCATCAGGGACTTTATAACTCTGTCTCCACTTCCTTCCCCCTGGTTTTCCATCTGAAGGACACTCCAACCATGAATAGGTAATCTGGGCAAGTGCTGAGGACTCAAGATTACATTTAGAAAAGCCCACAAAAGAGACTAATAGTACTGAATACACACAAAAATCCAGGAACATTTATTACTTTTGCAACTGTACTTACTTCCCTTCATGTCTTAAGGTGCTACTAAAATGTTAAGTCAGTTTTCAGCATTTTGGGATTTTCTTTATGTACTGTTTTAAACATCAGTTGTTTCAGAATTTCGTGTCAGATAATGCCGTGATGCCCCTGACTTCCAGTCAGTTGAGCTGCACTGAATTCATTTGAGTGGTTTCCAGTCAAAATGAATCAGTTCCACTGAGTCCAATCATATCTGCATCATTTAAAAGCGGCCTAGTGCTTCATGTTGGTGTCTAACACTGTTAATACACTCGGATGTTATAGATCAGTTTCATTCCTCCATTCTTTATCAAATGCTGTTTGTCTGTGTTGTGCACCACCCAAAACAGTAGACATGAGACAAAAAGCAACTGTACAATTCAGAAATGTAAAGTTGAATGGGATATGCTGGATGTAGAGATTTCGCAAATGTTTCTAATATACTTGAAATATTAAATTTCCTCTGTGTAAATACATTTGTGCAAATGTGTGTAACTGATTTGTTTTCCCTTTGTCTCTCAGTCTTCCTGCTTTGTGCATTCCTGTCTTCCATTCATCTGGGTTCTTATGCATCAAACGGATCTTGTTGTACTGTGCTCAAAGCTGATTGTGATCAGCAGTCTAGATACATAATATGCATTTGCAATGACCTGTGAGAGTGAATGTGGGTTATATGGTTGGCTGTCCTCTATATGATCTCTCCACTCTCTCTTCAGATATAAAGGAGCAGAATTCAAGGTTAAATGTTTGCACAGAGCAAATTACACTTAACACTGTGTAACACAGCAAATACCTAAATGGAGTTAATGATGCACAATATTCTGCACAGAAACTTTACGGTTGCAACACTGTGCATTTGCCTGCACAAACTTCTAACAAGTTGCACAACAGCACAGTAAAAATGTGCTGAGAGCGAAGCCTGAGCTTCCCAGTCTAACTGGTCACACGGACTGAACAATGGGAGGTAAAACAAGCCTGGAGTTTCCCTCAGGCCTCCAGGACATCACGTTCAATTTGATGTTTGTTTTTAAGTCTCGTGAAGCTTCACAGCCTCATAGAGAACTCATAGAGTCCTTTCATTTTATCTGCAAAGGAACTGAATGAGTGATTTGATACTGGGTTATTTGAGGCACTATAGAGAATCAATGGGAGTTTAATGCATTTGTCAGTAAAAAAAATCTGCAGTAGTGTTATTGACTAGCTGGCAGGACGTTAAGAACAATTATTAAATGCATGTCACCTCTGAGGTCAGTGATATAGTTTTTACACCAAATAAATAAGGGCATGTATGCACCAGAACTATGATTTCAAAGAACAGACTAGACATAAGTCACATATTATTCATTACAGTGATATCTTCCACTGACATAAACAAAACAAAAGCTGTCACTGGTATATCAAAATAAAATATATCTGTAAGATCAGACACATACATTTGACCATGCGGTCCAGACCTGTGGGTCTTGGGGAAACTCCACCGCAGGGCCTGCTGGTTTAGTCTTGGGTTCTTCGCACTATTCTCACAGTATGATAAACAAACTGAAATCACATCGCATTGAAACTTGAAGTTTTGGAGGAAACTCCTGTGCACGCTGCAGCCCCCCTCCTGCAGGTCTAACCACCCACTCCAACACTGAGGGGATGCAGAGCAACACTTTCTTAATGTTAAAGTAATTCAGCGGACAAATGCTGACAAACGTGCAGTTTTAAGACTTTCCATGCATGCATCCACCCTCGCTCATGTCATAACAGAGGCTTGTTTGTGGAATAGCAATGCACCAACATGCGTGACCAGTTTTTACTGAAAATATGTAAGCTTCAAGTTCTTCTGACTTCCTGGACTTTAGTGTTTCCCCTTCTTGAAGCATTAATGTATTTGATTTCACTTTTAAGGCTATGATTGCCTACTCTTGCTGTTGACCATTTTGAATTGGAAAGTGTGAAATTCTGTAAAATACTAAATACTACATAATTTGCATGATACTAGAGGCTATGTTAAATATACAGAGAGAAACTGCATATTTGTTTTTGCGGCAATGTGGTATTTTTTCCAATACTCATGTAGAGGTAGAAATAGTTGAGAAAATGTGTATTTTAAGTGCAGCAGATGTAGCCTGCAAAAGTACTTTGCTCTCTTGGTTACAGACTGAGTAGTGTATTTATATGTGTCTCAATAGAAATCCCCTCTTGGAGCCAGCAATCTGTATGCCGTGTTATTCTAAGTGACAGTTTTGTGGAAATCCCCCACCTAGTTGTTAGCTCCGCCCGTTGCAGCCACACAGAGGGCATTTACAGACTGCTGCGTTTCTCCTTTAGAATACAACCAAACGCACCTCGTCCCGAACAACAAACCACCATGGACCTCCACCGGACCAGTATATTAAACCAAATGGATTACAGTCGGGAATCTAAAGAAGGGAAACCGGGTCAGTCGACAGATGAGCGGCTCGACAGCGGTCTGGACTCGCTTAAAGAGGAGGAGTACCAGGCTGTGGCGGCCGAGATCCGTCAGCTCCAGGTGAACTGTAATCCCCCACAGCACAAGCAACTCCCCGCTGAAACCGAGGAGCTGCAGGAATGGAAAACACAGATCACAGAGGACGGAGACACGTAAGTTTGACCAGGAGTTGCGCATGGTGGGATATTTATGAGTTCTCGGAGGTACAGCTAGGCTTGCAGTATCGCCTGACTAGGCCTAGCTCGGGTCCTGGAGGTAATTTGATCCCTTTCCTGTGGGGAATGTGTTCCTCTAGCTTGTCATTACAATACACAGGCCTGGGCCTAGTGCAGACCGTGTTTGTGCTCCACTTTTATGCATTACTGCTTACAAAAGTACGCTGCTGCGGTGCTGACAATACACAGGACTGGTGGCCGGATTGTTAATGGGTCTAGCTGCGGTCAGACACGGTGATACTGGACGTAAACAAAAGGCTATTATCAGGAGGGAATCTACTATGGCCGCGGGTCAGGCTGGGAAAGTCCCGGGCGCGCCGCCAAGGAACCCGACCGACGCGCGCCCATGTGAAGTGAGAAGAAGGAAAAAAACTAGAAAAAAGTACCTTAAATTGCAGCAGCGTAAGTCAGTCGAGGCTGAGGGTGAAACTCTACCCTGAAATAGACGCCTGCGACTTATTGCTGTAATTAAACCAAGGGGAATAACATTAAAATAGTCCCCAACTGTTATTTTCATTATAACATAATTCCTCCGCGGAGAAATATAGTTCGAGTTTACGGTAAAGTATTTTAACTGTTGTTAGAGCTCGTGCATTGAGTATCTTCCAACGGGTCAAAGCTGAACAACGTGACCTAAGTAATCAAAACTGACGCAACGGTACTGTCTCATATAAAGCAATGAAGCATGAAACCATATTACACTGATTTAACCAAATGATAAGTTTAAATGTTTAAAGCCGCACCATTGCAGCGGCTCTTCGTGTGGAGTTCAGGGATCACAGAGGGGCCATTTTCTGTTTATTTACATTCATTTACTGTCATGGCATTCTTACTTATTACATCAAGTGTGAAACTGACTGCTGTGTTATGCTTACAAATCTGTCAAACTGATTTGATTTGTGTGTGTATAAAAAAAAAAATCCAACACTAAATAAACTGCATCAAGGATCTTTTGAATGTTAGGGGCCAGTAACATGGAAAGTGGGTGTCCTGCTGTATTACAGAGTCCAGAGATGTACCTTCATTCTGATTTATGATAGAAATACCACTTGATTTTATAACCCTTATTTCTTTAGTTTTACATTAGTGTAAGTCAGCATTTTTAGGGCTAGTTTCTTAATTATCTGCAATAAATTAATAAAATGTACAACCTGCCCCCGATTTAGCACAAAGTAAAACAGTTGTCTGCTTATACTAAACCTTAGGTTTGTCATAGAACCTTTTGGTATTAGTTGAGCTTTTCACTATTCAAAGATAACATTATGTGATGTAGATAGAAAAACACAATCAGAAGTATATTTGCTGTTAGTTAGCTGTATCAAGTGACTATGTGCTACTGGTTTCCTTGTGGAACATATTCCCTCAGTCTTTTACATCTGGTTGTGTTGTGTATGTGTATTTTAACAGGTTTTCTACCTTCTCCTTCTGTCTCTATAGGCTTCTCCACCTGGCCATCATCCATGAGGCCAAAGACTACATCAGGACAATGATTGACGAGTCCAAGAACACAGACTTCCTCAACACACAAAATGACCTGAGACAGGTACGTGAGAGACGCCTTTGAAAGGGATTTAAAAAAAAAAAGAATATATTCATCTCTACCCAGTCTCATCTTTATCATCTTACCTCTCCAATACCCATATGCCTCCATCTATTTCTGTGTACTTACTCAGGGTATACTACTCATTCCACAAGCCTGTACTGTAGCAATAGTAAAAATTAATGCTCTGTGTCTACCATCACATACAGAATAATGAAAATACCTGCTGACTCAATAACTCACCTGTCTCGGTGTGATTTTTCCCTCTCCAGACTCCTCTGCACTTAGCGGTAATAACAAACCAGGCAGACGTGTGTCAGCATCTTCTGGTATCCGGCTGTGACCCCACTCTGGTGGACAACAGAGGGGACACGCCTCTTCACATTGCCTGTCGCCATGGTAATCTGCTGTGCTTCAGCGTCATCACACAGTTCTGTCAGAAAGAGCATCTACACACGGTGATGGCTGCCTGCAACTATAATGGTAAGCTTCAGTTGTCAACTTTAAAACTTTATGTGTTTGCATATCAGATGGATTTAGCAGTTGTAGGTTGACTTACAATGTTTCAACTATATTAGAAAACTCTGTTCTGTGGTGATGGTAATGTCCTGTGGTGGCCCACCCATGCTGCATGGAAACCAGTCTGCTGCTGGTCTTAACCACTATTTAAAAGGAGGACTGGTGGGCACAAAGAGTCATTTCTGATGCCCATTATCCCTGAACACTATGGTTAGGAAGAAGGAAACATTTGAGCAAGCAAGGGGAATACCATTGCCTCTCATAGCAGTACATCCTGAGTGTAACCCATCTATTTGATGGCACATAATGGTAGATGCCAAGGCTCCAAATAGAAAGGGGGAAGGTTCTACTTTTAGATTTGTACACAGATATTTTTAAGGCATTGTTGGCTTATTTACAGATTCTTTTGGTGAACCAAGTTTTCAAAATAAACTACAACAACCAAAATAGAAAATTACTTTGTGTGAAAGTCTGTTTTCCTATTATAATCTGCATTAACATGGCAGTATGATGTAAGTGCATATCTAAAAGAATAATTTGTTCAGTTCAGTCAGTGAAATAACTTGCAGCCCATCTTAGGATGCTGGACTCTCCTGCTGTTAAAAACTGACATGTACAGGTCTGGGGTCAGTTGTTAAATTGTTCCTCTAATGTTTTGTGCAGGTCAGAATTGCCTCCACCTCGCCTCAGTCCATGGTTTCCTCTCACTGGTAGAGAACATGGTGGAACTAGGAGCTGACATTAATGCAAAGGTAAACAATTCACTTGTATACACACTGTATAGTTCACAATTAATCAATGTGAGACATTTTGAGGACCAGCCCTCTTGTTGTCTTTACTCTCCCTCTCTCCCTGTGCTAATAAAAAATCTAATGTTCCCGTAGGAGCAACACAACGGTCGCAGTGCGCTGCATCTGGCAGTGGATCAACAGAATCTCTTACTGGTCAAACTGCTGCTGAAAAAAGGAGCAGATCCCAACCTCCTGACCTCTGGTGGCCACACCCCCTACCACCTCACCTACGGTTATGGAAGTTTTGACATCAGGGAAGAACTGTACTCACTGACCAACCCAGAGCTGAGGGAACTGCCTGACAGCGATTCAGATGACAGTGAGGAAGAGGAGGATGAGACGTTTGATGAGGAGGTGTGTGTTGAAAACACAGAATTTCCCCTGTGCAGCCAGTCTGGCATAAATGAAACATGAAAATTTCCTGCTTAGTGTATAACAATTTTTTTCTGTCCTCTGTGTGTCTGCAGGTCAGTTATGATGACATTCACTGGAATGGACATTAGCAGGAAACGAGACGGAGAGAGGAAGTTACAGAGGCAGGAGGCTGTGATGATGACGGTAGAGGACAGGAGAGACGGCGCAGCTCATCCACTACTTCCTGGAATCGCGTGACGGAAGCCCAACAGCGTGGGTGACGCGATGCGAGCGTGACCGCTGACAAAACGGATGGGACAGGCAGCTGTAAAGGCAAATGAAACAGAGACTGACGGCCGAATAAACCAGTGAGACTGCTCCGGGCTTGCAGGAGAGCAAGCACACAATGAGATGTGAATACGTGACACATTATGATGGGATGGCATTGCTGTATGATAAGAGGATCGCTTGTATTCTGTGGACACTGCATCATTATCACAAAAACATCCATCCACACAGATGTACCTGCAACAGCTCTGTTGTATGATATTGTAAATGCTGTGTATACTAAGATGTATTTTTTATGGAAGCTGTGAATGTGTACAGTTGAGTAGGTTGTATATGTCAGACAGCAAACAGTCCAGCACACTCCAGTTAAATTAAAAGACTCATATTTAACAGTGAAGACCTCCTGTGTGAATATATTTGTAGAGATGGGTGACATGGTGGGGGCTCCTGGATGAAAACTGAGACACTGAGCTTGGAATAGAATGCTTTCACGTATGTACATTAGAAAAATGTCTTCCTAATATTACAATATAAAGATCATACAGAACCCTGCGTATAATCAACAGCGCCTGACAATATTACAAGGCAGCAATTATATGGGAAATTACTTTAACCATGTGCCTCTCTGCTGCCGTCAGTGTGTCTGATTGTATAAATGCCTCCATCAAAGCATGACAGCTGAGTTTCAGTTCTGACCCGCCATCTTTTATTTTCATATAATGCATGTCATGCAGGAACTCTCTGATACCTTGACAAGTCACTTCCACTGAATGAGGAACTAACAGCAAACTGAGCCTGCAATGCAATTCTTCCTGCTGGGTGTGTGTGTGTGTGTGTGTGTGTGTGTGTGTGTGTGTGTGTGTGTGTGTGTGTGTGTGTGTGTGTAGAAAGAGATAAGAGGCTTCGGGAAATTTTTGTGTGTGGAATGAGGCTGATTGCTCAGTCATCTAAATCAGGAAGTTTTTTGAAGGGCGGGGGAGAGGGACAGGGCAGGAAATTCCCAGGAGCAGAACACTCAACTGTTAGTGATGTTCCTGCTTCTCATCCTCCGAAGAAGGGAATCTCCGCAGAACAACAGGATGCTTCAGTTCAGCACAAGGAGGAAGGGAGTTTTACCTAAATTCCAGTAAAATTAATATCATTAAAACACATATGCAATTCTATGATGGCTGTATGAATCACAAGCAACTCAATACTTGCTTCTTCAATACAATGGATTGTACAACAAAATACTGTAATATATACTTTAAGCAAGTGAAATTAGTGTGCCTACATTTTTTGTGCAGACCACAGACTATTTTTCCAATTAGACAAAGGGTCAAAGGGTTAGGCGCTTCATCTTTGTCCATTTATATTAAAAGCATATTAAAATAGCTGCAGTAGACCTGTTAGTACACCATCTTTGGTGGTAAACAACTGCAGTTGTTTACATATACTACATATAAATTCCATGTAAAATCTTAACTAGAGTGATATTTCACCATTTGATTCATACTCAGCACTAGTCAGCCCCTGGGGTTATCTCAATATACAGTTTCAGAATAAACCAGCTCAACTACACGATGTAAACAATGTACAGTAATTGAAATCTGAAGATCCACCTCACTGACTGAAAACAATGCTCCCACAGGAACCATTAATGTGACAGATATACAGTCAGTAGCCACTTTATTAGGTACACCTGCAGTCTAATGCAATCCAACACACAGTTCTGCAGTGAAGTCTATTTATATGCTGCTTAGTATGTTCAGTATGACACTGTTAGAGGTGTTAATTAAATTACATGTTTTAGTATTGAGATCATAGTTTGTGGTAGTGTTGTATTTCAGAGGGGTTTCTAATACTCTGCCCCCCTCTTGTATGTTAATGAGGACAAAACAATAGCAACACTTATTAATATAATTTAGTCCAGTACAACACTACCTTTGACTGTGACCTCAGTAGTAAATATATAATTGAATTTACACATTTCTGACAATGTCAACAAAATCAGAACATTATAAAGTTTGTAAAGAAAGACGTTACGTTATTGTATTGCAATAGATTGTGCAGGCGTACCTAATAAAACATGTCGATCTCATGTCTGAATAAGCACCGAGTCACTACAGCAATACTGGGTTGGACCTATTAGCATGTCCAATATTGCACAAGTCTGAATGGAATGCCCCTCAGATGAACAAGAAGGATACAACAGCACAAGGTTCAATATGCACAGAAAAGGAAACAGCCAAACTAAAGGGTTCCTTAAAAACATTGTGTTTAATAGAAGTGCTGTATTGTACAGCAATGGCAGCAGATGGGAGGAGGGTCAAGACACAATGGAAAGAAAGGAATATACTTAGCGACTTCCCACTGACATTGACCTGAGTAGACCTAAACAGGGGTGTGACTGATGATGACTGTCACAACGGGAGAATTCCCACAGCTGTTCCCTGGGTTATCACAAAGTACATCAGAGCATAAACATCATCCTGGAGCTAATGACGAGTAGAGAGGAGAGACTGAGGCAGATGAATAAAACGAGACAGATTCAAAAAGTACAAGTTGTGGCAGCCCTGAGTAAAGATGGTTAGGAAGCACTGTTTTAAATACAGTGACTCAAGATGCTACTGGACCACTGAGTTCATACTTAAAAGAGGTATTGTGCCGTTGTTGTAGTGTTACCACACCTCCATCTTCCAGACATTTGAGCTGAGCTGCATACAGAGAGGGCACTGTGGTTAACACCTGTCTGGAACATCACGACCAAGGAGCATGTCAGGCTCCTGTGTCATATCTGGTGGACTGATGTCAATGTCCGGCATCTGTCCAGGCTCTGTGACATTTGGCAGCCGGCTGCAACGACGATGTCTCAGTGTGGCCAGAAGGAAAATGCAGGAAGGGGTCGATATGTGGATAATATTGTGTCTTGTCAGGTCCTGGCCCTGACCAGGGAGGATGGAGGAGGGGCAGGTTGCATGATGGGAACACTGACAGTGCAGCTGGGTAACATATTCTACCCACCTGCTATAAAATGGCCATATTGTTCTGTATTGTTTTGTCTCAACCTCACTTTGTTGTCAACAAGATGATACCAGCTCCTCCTTTATCTTCCTTCTAGACAAGACTTTTGTGTGAGGGAGGTGGGGCTTTCCTGTGTTCGCCGTTCATCATCCATGTAATGATGACGGCTACAAAATGGCTGCCAACTTTCTTCACTCTCTCTCAGACAAAGCCACCAGGTGAACATCAATCTCAGAGTCCGACAGGATCCTGGAACGCAAACACACACAAGTTTAACGGTCATGTTTTTTGTTCTGCCAGATGTTGTGGGCCATACACACACAGACATTGTGAGATCACACTCGACCATGTAAGCTCTTACTTTGATCTTATCCCTGGTTTTAGTTGTAGGGAATTTCCATTACAACACTTCTATTTTTCTCAATTTTTAATCATAACTCTGGACAGAGCCAGCATAAGACCATATTCTTTTTTTGTCTTTAACTTCTTTTCAGTTTCAGAACAATCATAAAAGACTTCAATGGCTGGAGCAATGGAGCTGCATGTTTTCTTGAGCAACAAAAATTACTTTGCTTTTCATTCAGTCAGTGAAATTTACCCAGGAAGTTTGGCTAAGCCCATGCACCTTTTTCAGGAAGACCATATTTTACATTTTCTCTGTAAATCCCATTTATCAGCCTCTGGCTATTCAAACCAGACTTCAACCTGTGGCACGGATTATATTTCTCACTCATGTCTCAGCAAAATACTCACTTGAATCTTGGTTCCTGTGTAGTGATGACTCCCACCTCCAGCTCTGAGGGCTTGAAGTCAATGGACAGTACGGTTGACAAACATGAGATAGCCGTCTGTTTTGAGACCATAAAGGGAGGGGCGAGGTGGAGAGAAGCATGAAAGAGGGAAGGAGGAAGAGAAAATAAAACATTACATCTGAGAGATAGATGCATTTAGACGCATTAAGGAACTCATTGTGTCGAATAATCTCGTAAGATGGAACATAATGTATAAATATGTAAGGGATGCTTGTAATTGTTAATGGAGTCACTGAGCTAATAAGGATGGAATGAAAGCCTTCACTTCTACCAGTGAGCAGCACTGTGTCACTGTCTGAGTAACTGCATGTGTGCATGTCTGTAAACATTTGACTGCAAATCAATCAGTGTGTCAATTCAGTGTTTCCAAGACTAGAGTTTCCACATCTGCTGACTTTTTAACAGATGTTCAACTCTCTAGAAGATTAAATACAGCTAGATCACACATCTTTGCCGATCTGCTCTGCTTGTCCACCAATAAACATTAGATTGTGAAATGGAGGTCGTTACAAAAGGTGGATGTAATGTTAAATTTAGATTAATTTAGACATAAGTCTCCTCTTTGCTTTAACTTCTTATAACAAGAGATCAAATCGTATTTTTATATTGTATTAATATCAGGATCCTTACTGATATTTTCAATTTTTATAACTAAATCCATTACCACGATATCAGTTCCTTAAGTGACTGCAACAGTTTGGTTCCCTTTGAGTTGACCAGAAACCACACAGTTGTAGTAAAGTAACACAGCTGTAAAACTCCCAGACATTTCCTGACATAAAAAAAAATTACCAAACCCCCCGATCTTCCTTGTCTGGAAAATATGAAGCGAAATTCACTGACATTCTGGAAATTCAGTAACCAGTAAAAACCCTGGAATGTATTACAACTTATTTGACCACCATCCCACAGTCCTAATCAATAATGTAGTTTTGGGAAGAAATTACATTGTGGCATTATAAATATGACAAGACTCTTTGTGTATATCGTATAAATATATATATATATATATATATATATATGTATACACACGTATAAGTATGTGTTTGTGTGTCTCATACCTCTATAGTTTGCTCATAGGTCCAGTCCAGCTTCTTCTTGACTTTCTTCTCCAGGAAGCTGGTGGCCTCTGTCTGTTTGACTCCAGCTGCTGTGGCCTTAAAGCCACAGTAGTAGCCGGCTGGATCACACTTATACAGCTGTGGACCCATCTCTTCATCCACTCCAACCACTATCATACCTGGGGGAAGGATGCAAGAGGCAGAGGGAAATTAAAACTTGACAGTAGGAACAAAAACTCAGAGATGAAGTAATTTATTTAACATCTGGTTTATGCTCTAAACAGCAGTTTGAAAAGTTTAATTTACTTTTAAGAAAAAATATGAAATCATTGTTAAAACTGACATGAAACCTTGTGCAAGAAGATGTGGGCTTGACCACTATCCAGTGTCAAAGATACAAGATGTAAGTTGGAGCTGCTGATGATACTGTGTGCTTATTTTCTGTGATGAAAGCAACATTTATACAATAATGGGACACTAAACTACTACTTTCATACTAGTTATTCTCTTACAAAAGCAGATTTCAGTGTAGGTCTTAATGCACCACTCAGTGATGCTAAAATAAAACCATTCACCAGCCCTGGTCATGGAGGAACCCATATTAATTGAAAAGGGGATGACAATAAGTTATTTTGAACATTTATAATGTGCCAGCTTTGGTTTAAATCTTATTTAACATAATCAATTATTGAGTACATGTTTCTGGTATACACAAACACACATGGACACTACTCACAGCATCCTAGTGGCCTCATCTCAGCATTCTGCGTGTAGACTTGGCAGATGTCAGCCATGCGTTTACACAACATGTCCACAGGGATCTCATAGCCGTACTTATACATCCAGTTAGCTGCTTCATACCGGGCCCTCTGTACCTGAGACCTGCCGTCAGCTGTGGGAGAGGAAGAGACAGAAAGAGCTTTTCAGAAAAATGAATAAAAGAAATACATAAGTGGACAAAACACAATTTTTAAAAATGTTTTTTGCAGAGAAAGAATATGATAAACCTCTATGTGTAAATGGATCAACAAGATCACAGAAATTAGTGATTCAACATGGTTGTCAGACAAGGCAGTCACTGACCTGATTAAATGACTTTAAATTACTGCTAAAACATGTAGACTCTGGGCTGCTGCAGAGATATGAGCTATGGGTTTTGTTATAGTTTTTAATTTTTCTAGCTGAATAATGCAACTCATAATAGACTATATCCTACCACTTAATACAGTTGACATGTTATTTACTATCGTCAAACTTGTAATGTGTCAAACTTGTAATGTACTGCTGTAACAATTTTATTTTTTTCTAGCAGATGCATTTCAAGCTATTTTCAGTGTTTCAGGTATTGTTGAGACTAGGCGTAACTTACCAGTCATGCCGGTCATGACACAGCCAATGTTCTCTGTGATTTTGAAGAGATGTGTGACTGTCAAGGCATCCAACAGCTTATCCTGAGAAAGACACGAGACATAGACATCACTAACAGATCACCGTGCTCATACAAGAACCATAATGACAGCTGGGGAATCTGATCACACATTTCTTTAAGAAACAGAAACTTCTGCTCGTTTATAATGTGTCCGTGTTTACTCACAGGGACTTTCTTCTGTGTGACGATCACAACACAGTCCTTCCCTCTGACGGCTACAGAGGTCAGTCCTCCCTGGTTGATGGCTTTGAAGGCATACTCTGAAAACAGATAGAAGGTTAAAAACAGACTGCTCATGTCAAACTTTTCACCACTGTGGGCAAAGTTGTTTTTTGTTAAAATCAGGATCCAAGCTACTTAATTGTTTTGAGTATACATGTAAATACAAGTCTCTAAATATAACACAATGTATACAACTGTATCATAGTGGTATTTCACTTTCACAGGTTTTCTTTTGACAATATTTGTCTCAGGTCTGAGGCTAACATGCAATAGAGCTCAGATATAATGAGTCACTTGGTCAAGAGAATGACTATTAAAAATTGTTAAAATTGGTAAGTAGTGTGCTACTTGACTGGCAGCTATCAGAGTTAACAAAATAAGGAATTCAACTAAATTGAAAAAAAAAAACCATCTATGTAAACATTAACAAACTTATGGTAGAACTCCTCAGCTAAATTTAGCTAGCTGGGAGATTTGTTAGCTAGCAAACTGCAATAAAACGAACCTGGTTAGCTAGAATTACTAATGAACTGTATGTATTTAAAGTTAATAATATATTACCTGCAATTATTTTGACCGTAACACCATGTAATGAAATAGTTATCTGTCCATAACAACATTGAGCTATGAATGAGTAAGCTAGAAGCTGCTAGCTAATGTTAGCCTGTTAGCCAGCAGTGATGACAGAGCAAGTTGAGATTGGTTAATTTCTCTCACTACTGACCGACTTGGTAGAGTCTTCCCTCCGGGGAGAAGATGGTGATATGGCGGTCAAACCCTGCGCTTGACCCCCGAGACATGACGGCTCCAAATAACTGTGGTAAACTGGTGAAGACTGAATCTGAAACTAAACTGAGAGACAACAGAAGCAAAACATGGCAAACATTTGCTCCGGAAATGATCTGTCTGACTGAGGGCTTCTACATCCGGGTCAACGTCACAGGATTGTAGTTTTTACATGTCTCTACTGACAGTGTCATGCTGCTCCTTTGCTTTGTTGCAATGTGATACCAAGGATTGTAATAACATTTATTAATAGATAAACAAAATAAATTCTTGTGGTTTAAAGTTAATAATAAAAAACTACAAGCACTTCAGTTGTGTTAAATTTGTGGTTTTATTCACAGGTCCACTGTTATATTCAAAGCATATGATCCAAAGGAATGACTTGGAAAATGCTCTGTTGTGAAATTAGTGTGTGTGTGTTCAGTGCTTCTGTGTGAGGCAAAGCCATCGTTGTGGTACTTCATAGGTGCTCCTGTCCTCTGTGTCGTCGTAGGGAACGTGCCATGAGTCTCCTGAAGTCTGGATAGTGGTGTCATATTTGAGAATACTCTAAACACACAGACACACATACACAATTAATTGGTATGCTTATTTCTTCGTGTCAACATATCCACCCTCTCCTCTCATATCCTTCCCCTCCCGTTCCTCCTCTTCCTCACCTGAAATTGGACCCTCCTGCCTGCTACGACGAGTCCATCCACCACCAGCTGGTGACCTCTCTGCCATTTGAAGAAGAGCCGTCTGGTGGCTCCGTCTGGAAGGCAGGCCTTGTGGTCCCTCATCAGGTCCCTACTCACAAACCGACAGTGATTCCCAGAATGCAAAGTGGCGTACAGCAGGAAGGGGTCGTCCTCTGAACTGACAGACACAAACAGGCAGGTGCGAGATAAACTGATTACAAATTGAGCCTTTTAAGTCCAAAAAGGCTGTTAATGAACAGATGTATTTCAAAACAACAACATGCTGAATGATACATGTGAATTTATATTCTCTGTTCTGGTTTATTCTATTAGTCAGCCACCCACTTGTTGCAGCTTTTGCAGTTGCAGCACAAAACCCTTTTGGTTTTAGAGCAGATTTCAATGAATGCACAATGAACAAATTGCAGTTGCATGACTGAATATATATATATGGCCAGTGTTAGCCTGCAGTGTAAATGTGATTTATGTGTTTTCTGTAAACTGTATTCCATACTAGTCTTCTTCATTATCAGGTGCTCACATGTCGTCAGTGAAGAAGCAATGGGCTTTTTCCTGGATAAGATTCATGTTGTGTCTCTCCCAGGATCTGGTGGCCCGCAGCATGTGTTTCCTCCCCAAGACCAGAACAGTCAGGCCCTGACGCTCCAGGTCTGACACCACCGCCAACAACTGGAACACACACATACCTCAATTCTTTTATTTATACTCACATTAAAAAATGGAATATGAAAATTGAATGATTCAAATGTCTTTCAAATGTCTACCAGCTCCATTTAGAGACATAACCACACCTTAGGATGCAAGTAGTAGCTCTTACATGAGCAATACAGGTTTTAAGACAGGTTTTAACATTGTTTGCATCTGGCACTCAGACACTGGCTGTTTGAATTGATGTGTATGCATATGAGTGGTAGTGAAATGTGAAAAAGACAGTAAACATAGTGAATTAGAATAGTTTTTGTAAGTAACAAAATCACACAACAACAGTGTACAAACAAACAATATGTAAATTAAAATCATTTGCATTTTCACACATCACAACTCACGTTTTTGGATGTCTTTTTGGATATCGAAAGATGAGCAGCTGACACAAACTCAGGCCACTAATTAATGTAACTCTGTCTAATATAGAAGATAATGCTATGAATAACTCCTATCATCCTCCTTGTTGCCATAGCTAAAAAAATCACTGCTGTCTACTTTTACAGCACATAACCAATTATTTTGTAGAGCAGAGAAGTCCTATGAAATATTGGGAATTATTTCTATGCTTAGTGAGTCTGTGGGCTCTAGAGAAGCCTTTAAATGTCATATATTTATATTATTGGACCTTTAACGACTCACATGTTGTACATATCTCATTTTAACCATGCTAACAGCATGCCTCGGATGTCCATCGGTGCACCACTTTGCTTCAGACTGAAATACTGGAGGGACGACCTGCTGGAGGGATTTGCATGAAAGTTTGTAAACATACTGATGGTTCCCAGAGGATGAAACCTAATGACTTTGGTGATCCCCTGTCTTTTCCTATAGAACCACAATAAAGTTCACATTTGAGATTTGAAGTGAAATCTGAAAGCCATTCAATTTGGTACAGACTAGGCTTGGGCGATATCCAAAATGTAATATCTTGATACAGTCCAGCCCAAATATTGTGATATACGAGTATGTTTCAGGCCAGCGATACTGCCACTAATCAGCAGCTGTTACAACGTACAGTAAGCACAGCAGTGAAATGGTGTCGGAGTTGGCAGGAGAGCAAACTGTGCAAAACTCGATATTGTGCAAAATATTGCATATGGCAGGAAAGGTCGTTATATACAATATTATCAAATATCAGCCCAAGCCTATTACAAACTGTCACATCTAGCACCTAATGACATTCCCAATCAGCCTTAGCTGTACTTTGTGTTTAGTGCTAATCAGGAAATGTTAGCATGCTAACATCCTAACATCCTAAACTAAGATTAAGGTAGGTATTGGCACTGTACTTTACTGTGTATTGATAACTACCTTCTAAACATCAGCATGTTAGTGTTGTCATTGAGAGCATGTTAGCATGCTGATGTTAGCATTTAGTTTAAAGCACTTCAAATATGTGGCTGAAGACTCTTGATAATCATAAATTCAGAAGCTAATTTCATGTTTCATGCATAGCTGTGTCGCTGACCTACAGTTTCATTCATACACACATTTGAATAAAAGTTTCTGTTAGTGGTCCTAATGTAAATTTTGATGACTTTTGCATTAATCTAAATAATTTATTTAGGTTTCACACAAACTAGATAAGACAGATGAGATAGGGAAATACATTTGTCAGTTTGGACTTTCCTTTGTCTTGCAGTTGCATAACATATGAGAAAGTGTGAGTAAGTGGAAATGTGATATATTTCGGACAGAGACAGACACACACATACATACACACATACACACACATCATGACAGACAAGACAGATGTGGGAAGCCAGACAAGTGGGCTAGGTGTTGTTAAAATCAGGTATTGGCCATTTATTAAGACACCTCCTACACACATCTATCATTTATACAGAGACACACACTGCAGGGTTAGTCATTGTGCAACTGTCAGAAAAGCCCCTGGGTTGGACAAACATATATGTGGGAAGAAACCACTAAAAACTAGACTGTAAAACTGTGTGTGTGTGTGCGTGTGTGTGTGTGTGTGTGTGTGTGTGTCTGTGTGTGTGTGTGTGTGTGTGTGTGTGTGTGTGTGTGTAGAGAGGATTCTGACTAAGCACCATTAGACTGGTTGCCCCTATCTAATATACAGATTAACTCTTTTCATCTCTTTTCTGTACCACATTTTGCATGCATGTGCATCTGTGTGTGAATTCTCACCGTCGCTGACAGCTTGCTTTTGTCCTTGTTGATATTTGCTACATTCAGCCCATCTACAACCACATCAAAAGCTGGCTTCCTCTGCACAAACGCTTTGAAATGCTCCAACTCCTAGAACAGACACATTATTAGACAGACAGAGAGACAGACATTAAATGAAATGCCAACAAAAACACTTGAGTTAATACAACATGACATTACTACTTTTTGCTATTTAACCATAGAGCCTCATAGTATTTTATAGCAGAGTGTGTAAATGTTAATAGAAGAAGAAGAATTCTGAGAATTGACCAAGAGAGTAAGAAATAAAAGATTTTATTTAGCTGATAGGAATTTGTTTTTGCAGGCACTAGATCATAAACCAAAGTACTGGACAAAATAAGATTTAGATTTCATGGTTGTGCTTGAGGAAAAGTCAGGGGATCACCACAGTTATATAAGAATTATGTAACAGAATTTATCCTCTGTGCCGTCTGCACCAAATTTTATGGCATCTCATCCAAAAGTTATTGAAGTATTGCAGTAAGGACCAAAAGTGGCCAGACTGACCAACCGACAGACGAATGGACCAAGGTTACCATCTTTAGAGCTGCTGATAGTAAGGCTGAAAACGGATATGTTGTATTTATACTACTTTATTTTACATTTGATATTACATCTTTTGAAGTCTTTTCCAGCCTGGAGCAAAACTCCATTAATGATAATGATAATGACAGAATGATTAGAATGACTGAGACACACAGTTTGTTTTTTTTCCTTCCTCGTGTGTGTATTTTAATTGTCCATTTGATATGGGTGTGTATCACTCCATTGCATATCTCATTCATGACCATAGAGCAAAAATCTGAAATGTGCTGATTTCTACATTTTGGTATAATGTCTGACAGTTTGACAGACTAATTACCTGGATGTCTGACTAAATACATGGTGCTGAAAATGTGTAGAAAAAGTATGCAGAACTCTCTACAACATCAGGGGTTGGTTCCTTATTGTGGTCGAGGAGCGTAGCTGAACCCCAGCTGTGAGCTCACTGGTCTGATGGTTGGCTGATCCTCTCGCTGCCTGACCACAGGCCCGCCAGTAATAAATCTACCTGGCCTTTCCATCTCGGTACTGAGATGGCAGAGCGCCAGCTGGCTACGTGACTGACTGTAGAGTTCTCTGTGTTTGGATAAAGTTTACAATCCTGTAATGTTTATGCACTGTGGACCTGGGTAATAACCTGGATTTTTTTCCTTGTGTGACTACACTTCTTTTAGAATATGACAGAATGTAAAGTGGGTTACTGAGAGCTGACTCTCAGCTTTATTTGCACTGGAATTCTCATTCCTCTAAAGGGACTAAGATACAGTATACAAAAGTCTAATGTGGAAAAACATCTATAGAGATTCAGTGTCTTCCTGAGGCTTAATGTTAGTATTACCACAGCAACTTAAAATGCAGCAAATAGTGTCAGACCCCCTTCTATCTGAACCCACCTGTGGGTCCCACTGTAGACAATGTGTAACATACTGTATCACAGATTTATACCATAACAGGAAAGTA